GGATGGATGGATGGATGGATGGATGGATGGATGGATGGATGGATGGAAAAAAGTTTAAAGAGCAAAACCGCTGAGTAAAGGGTAACGGATGCTATTAGCTCTCAAAGTTTAGAGCAAAGGAGAAGCATGATCACAAATGAGAGGCAGAAGGTAGTTTTCTTTGGAAACATAAAGTGACACATGAGCCAACTATTATCTAGTGTCAGAAAATAGATTTTCACATACCTGCTCTCTTAAAGTCTCATTAGGAGGGCTCTCCAGGAGCCTCAGAGCAACCGTTGACATGCACAGCTGTAAAACAAATGCTGTTAATGCCATTGAATGGCACGAAACAAAATCATACCAAGAGAGAAAGGCTCCATGAAACAGTTTGTTTTGTTCTCTTTTTCATTTTGTTTCGATGTTTCCATTTTCTCTCCATCATATGATGTTGAAACATCAGCCAAAAGCTCCCATACATTCCCATGAATCGTCCAATTGGCAGAACCATCTTTCAAATTACATCATGAGAACACCTATTGATTCTCCTCCTTCCACACTTGGATACTTAGATTTAGTCTTTTTGATAAAGACAATAAACATGTCTATCAAAGCACCCTGAGATGGAGGGGAGTTTTAGATTACAGGAGTGCCTGATCGAAAGTAAGGCTCAACGCAAAAGCTAAACTGGAAAAAAGTCAGTGTGAGTTTCCTGATGTGAATCATCATATGTACGATGGTTGCAGTGGTAAAAAGAGTAATCAAGCATCTACTGTAAAAGTTTTTTTTTATTTGTGGTGTTTTAGTTACAAGCTGAACCTGAGTCGGTGAGAATGGTTAAAAGTGAGGGCTTATTGGATTGTCAGATTCAGACAGCATCTGAACCCTCTGAATGTGAGTTGATCTATGTCCTGGGTGTTATCAGTCCCAGCTAAGCCCATTAACTGACTGCACCATATCTGACATGATTACATCGCCCGTAACCCTAATGTCTCCCATGGAGACTAATAGGAAGCCATGAACTTAAATGTTGCTGGTGCTCAGTAAATCCCCAAGATGCTTATTAGCCACCCAAAGTGAATGGCCAGCAATGGAATTTTACAGCATTTGCCATTGAGACTTACGTTTTATGAGTGATGCTAAGGATTAAACATTTACTGCTGGTAAGGTCAGGTGATGGCATTTTACACCATCACTTGGAATTGATCTTCCAATGATATCTTTTGAGGATAGAGTTGCTGTGATTTTTTTTTTTATTGGAAGTTGGAACACGAGGCCGTGATTTATAACCAAGAGGAAAACCTGGAACAGTTTCGATTGTCTGAGCTTCTATATGTTATTTCATGGCTGCACAAAGTAAGAAACAATTTTTCATCCAATCCCCTTGCTCCTGTCTTTTAGTGTGAATCGGTCACCCAACAAATGTCAGAAGAAACCCATTCTCTCCTCCAACTATCTTGTCATCCATATTCCATTCACACATTGACTCATCCCTACCCTCCCTTTCATCCTCTCAACCCTATGAACTCCACATCCCTCCCTCCATCCATCTCTAGCCCTCCACATGCCACCTACACCTCCACCGTGCTAATTAACACCAGAGCACGGTCACACTGTGATGCCCTTTGACCTCGTCTCTGCCAGGCGAATCGCACAGGACTCGAAGCTTGTGGCTCCAGTATTAGTTTGTCATAGGCTCCTGTCGCACCCGGCTGTGATAGATGGGTCCTGGTTAGCAGCTCTGACCCACCGTGCTGCGACGCTCACTTGGATGGTGTGAGGGAGCATTGATTATGATGCTACTTGTGACAGGGGTTGATTCAGGGCTGAGATGATGGTGGCAGGAGGGGGGACAAAGGAGACCAAGGTTATGGATGAGGTGCAGTTAGTTAATGTGATGAGATTTGATTTGTGCTCCATTGATCGTGACATCTTGCAATATTATTTTCACCTAGCGTGATTTATAAGCATGTTGTGCGTGTACAGTGAAACAGAGTCCCCGTATTGTACAACAAAAGGAAAGTCTTGCAAACTGAGCAGACGAGTGCATAACATACACTATACAGAACTTCTGGATCTCATTGTTAGATTTTTTCCCCCGAATAAATAAAGCAAAGTTTAAAATCCCTAAAGTTGTCTTAATACTTTAAGTAAAGTATTCATTTTTTTAATCATAAAAGCAAATTAAATGAAAACCATGTGGTGGAATTGAATACTTTCCAGGCCTGCATATGTCTTTATTATGTTAAACCAGTTATACTACTACAGTCTTCATTTTGTTGCTGTGTGATCCAACGGTACACTGAAAGTTTATGATGATTCTCTTAAAACATAATATTAAAATTATATGGATATAGTAATGGGAAAAATGGGACAGTCTCTGCTTTTTAGTTTTGCCATATCATTGCGTCATTAAAAAATCTTTAGTGCTTACCAGCAATTAAAAGATGGTGGTAATGAGTAGTAATGTGTGTGGGGGAAGAATGTGCACCATTAATTAGTCAACAAATTCATATATATATATATATATACACACACACACTGTATGGACACACTCTACCTGCTGACTGACAAATAGGTTATTTTTATTCTTGTCTATTGGAATGATTTAAAAACAGAAATGGACGTCAGAAAACATTTTAAGCAAAAAAGAAAAAAGAAAAAAAGAATTAGCTGTAAGAGAAAATACTGTATGGGTACAATTCAGGGAGAAAACAGTGGACGGGTTTGGGCAGGGAGGGGATGGGGAAGAAGGGCTGATGCAGCAGAATCTGCTCGTTCTCATCCCTCTTCCATCCTCTTTTCTACAGCTCCTCCTTTCTTCTCCTTCTCCTCCTCCTCTTTTCCACCCCTGCGCCCAGCTCAAAGTGTGGTAGTCAGCTAATTAAAAAGCATAGTTGTCCTTAATTATTCAGCGGCTGGCTAATTGATATTCACAGAGGCGATCACCGAGCCTAAACGATTCGTTTAATCTGACCACCACGGTCTCACTTACAATTGCCTGTCACCCTCAGCCATTGTGTTACTGTACTTAATAAAAGACCTGGGGAAATGGAAGAAATGGGAAAGTTTGCTGTTGATGTTAATGTTAGTTCCAGCACAGCAAATGGCTCCAGAGGGAGAATGCAGTTTTTACGGTGTGTTTTTAGTGAATTTCGTTTGTCTCTCCATGTCAGGGATTGCTGTACTGGAACACATATAACCAGAGAAAGGCTGAATTAGAATGGTTCACTATATAACTTCCTGTTGAAGTTCTGGTTGTGCAATCCATAAAAATCTTTCTTTTTTTATCCAGTGTTCATTGTGCTGTTGAATTACAGTACAATGCCTTCAGGCGTTTAGGAGAGACTACATTGCACAACTGTAAACTTTTAAGCATGTCGGCGTCTTTACTAGAATTTTTTTCTCATCTCTCTTTAAAGTTACAAACACTCTCTTGGCAACTCCATTGATGAGTGACTTTTCATTATCCGCTTTTATTTCTTTGTCTTTTCCCTCAAGTTCACTTGCATTTTTTTCTCTGCCTATGTCCTTCTCTTCCTATTCCTCCCCCAGCCCTTGCCCAAGCTCTCCTCCTCCACCTGCGACCGCCTCTTCATTAGGGGAACAAAAGGTGTGTGGGCAGTGCTGAAGTCTGTCCTATTGTTTGGCCCTTAGTATGATTAGATTATCTTTAAAGTCTGCTGAATGGGATTAATCAGTCAAAAGTAATCCCGACATTGTATGTGTGTGCCCCTGGGCCTGTGTGTGTCGTCAAAGAGGAGGGGACAACCTGCCTGTATGGAAATTGGACACATGCACTAGCACATGTACACACAGACAGCCTTATACGCTCTCACAAAAGTGAATAAAAAGAGAAAATCCCTTGGTACACATTTCTGTCACAACCTCTCCTTTTTTAATGACCCCGTTAGTCGCGCCTTCAGCACACATTTATCTCTCCACCAGCTCACTGTGGGTACAGCTGCTCGGACCGGTGTGTGCGTGAGTGGGATGATTTGCGTCTTACAGATCAGTGTCTGAGCTATTGTTTGTGCCTCAGCGTCTGTGTGCCTGTTTTGTCTTTCTCAACAAAGCCAAAGTATTAGTTGCCACCTACCAGCATATCATCGAGGTTTGGACAAACTCGCGGAAACGCACAACCCCCCGCCAGTGCTTTTTGTCTCGCTCTGTTCTATCGTTCCTGGTCTCTTCAGCCTAAATTGAGCCGTTAGTTGGCGACAGTTTTTTGGCACCAGAACCCATGTTTTTCAATCTCTTGAGACTCTGCCACTCCAGAGACCATCATTGCAGGTTTGGAATCAATAATATGGTTTCCAGAGTCACACATATGTTTTTTATAGTGAACTTTAAAGCAATTTTCCATTAAGCAAAAGTGAAATTCAAACTTGATTCCATTATTTAGCGCACTGCTCAAACAATAGCACTAAAGACTTGTAAGGAGGGGTGATGCAGACCACAAAAATTATACTGGTTCATGTTGGTTGTATTGAGGATGGCAGAGACGGTGGAACCTTTATCATAGTGTTGTTTTACCGATTATTGTCAGGAGTAAGATAAAGTGTTGCCCTAGAGTTTGCTTTATTCTCTGTGTCTGGCACCATAATAGAGGTGTTTGCCTTTGTGGGAAGGTTTCTGTCTTGTGTGTCGAAGAGGAGCTCGGAGCATCCCCTTGACTTTGAAACTTCCCCCACTCATCTCATACGAGGACAGCTCCTCTCTGAGACTCCTCGCTGCTCCTCATAACAATGCATAGAGCATGCAGCTTTGCCTGCAGTGTGTCGAGTTTCTAAACACAGACGGTTATCAGTGTAGTGAAGGCCATTTCTTTTTTTCTTTTTTTTTCTCCATATGTTTCCTTTTTTCAAATATTTCGCCTTCAAGTGTTTGGAGAGAAAGCAAGGTGCCTGTATCTGTGTGGCTGTTTCTCATATAGGAAACACGTTTGTGTGTGGCAGTAAACATCTGTGCATACATGCATGGTTGCTGTTTATATACCACACATGATTTTTGGTGGAATGAACAGGTGTGCGTGTGTGTGTGTGTGTGTGTGTTTGGCAGTGAGAGAGGAGATTGAAGGGATGAATTGTGACTATCCAAGCGGAACACTGCAGAAGCCAGTCATCCCTGGCCTCAGAATACTAAAACTTACCAAATGTCACTTTCAAGAAGTTCGTGAATGAATCAGTGTCTCTTTAAAACCGTTTTCTATTTCTGTACCTTTTTCAATGCTTCCCTAAACCAGGAACTTGAACAAAAGGTGAGTCTGGATGTCTTTGTCTCCTTCAAGACTTCTCTTGCTGTCTCTGTATGATACATTTAATGCATAAAGAATTCTTTCCTTTTTCTGCTGCTTTGAGATGATAAGTTTTTCTTTTTACTAGCTACCAGCTACATTTTATATTAGCTATTTCTTGAAATATGACCTTCTAAAACTCTATTTCTCCAAATGTGTTAAGAAATCTTTTGATTTTTTTCTGCATATTAAAGGATAGTCTTGTTGGTAACTGATACCAACAGAACTGTTTTTAGGTTTTAAGCAAACCAAGCAATGTTTCCATGTCCTAAAAATGCTACAGCAAAAAATCAGAAATCACAAATAATCACCTGAGGACTCAAACAAAAACACTTCCACAGCAGCACACACACCAGCATACTTCATTATTTTATGATATTTGAAATTATGGCACCTAATTTACAATCGAAATTAAGGATACTTCCCTTGTTCATGTGTTGTTGTTTTTTATTTCTACATATTTCTATTTATTTTATTTATTTTTATTCTACATAGCTCTATAATACATTTAACAATATATTTACTGTTAAATTTTGAACAGCTTATACCAATGAATTCCTCTAAGTTAATTAGAAGTAACCATGTCAACATTTCCTCACAAATTTATAGCAATGTCGTGTTTTTGTTCTCTTTTGGCCTTCTGCTTAAGTGCGATGTGTTTTTCTCCTTGAAAGGTGTTTTGTCAGGGCTTATCTGTCCTGTATATCGCGTAGAGAATCAGCTGTACCTTTAGTGAAGGTCACAGTAGAGGAGAGAACAGTGAAGATGGGTAACCACAGTAAATATATATGGCAAACCACTTGTTCTCAGAGAGAGCTGATGTTATCTGCTGGACTTGATAGTAATTTTGTTTCAGAGCTGACACAAGAGGACAGAAAGAAAAAAATGAAAGAACCAAGGCTATAATGGCAAATGTGTGATCAGACTTGTACACGTAGACACATTGAGGTAGTTTTGGCAAATCCTTAATAAGAACATGCACATATTTCTTCTTATATATACAACTCTGCTTGTATTTTCATCTACATAAGAAAGTGTTTGAGTTGTAGCTGACTGGTGCCTTCCAGTCAGCCTCATTTATGTGTGATGTTCTCTAAGATTGTCTCATCATTAATGGTCCCTACCATGTGTATGTTTCTTTCATTTGTGAGAATTTCTTTGATCATTTTGTTGTACCTGCCAATATTGAGCTGAGCACATAAGTAATGGCTTCTCTTCCTCCCTGTGTGCATGTGCATGTGAACATGTGAACATGTGAACATGCAAATGGATGTTTGTGTTTGTGATGGTTGGCGTTTAGGCCAAGCAGTTGGAGGCCAGGGAAGCAGATCTAAAGAAGCAGGACGCTTTCTACAGGGAACAAGTGGCCCGCCTGGAGGACAGGGTAAGAAAGAAATTTGATGGAGTTGAACAAGTTTTGTCTTGGTTTTCAAGCCCCTTCTTGAATTCAAATGAAAAATCATCCCCATATGGCATTGTGCTGATCTCTTTTCTCTCTCTGGTTTTATCTTAATTAATCAAATTAGCTGTGAATATTATACAAAAGCACAACCAAAGAAAATATTCTCAAATGGATAACAGGGCATTTAAAGTTGCAAGAAGGAGGTTTGTATTTAATAATTGGTATTAATAATACACTTGGCAGACTGTGCACACACACACGCTTCATAGATTTCATAAAACATCCACTGTACACGTCATATTTGCTCTTCGTCTTCATATGCCCTCCTGTTTTTGTTATCATCCCTTGATTTATACTCTGCATGCATTCCTCAGTGGGGTATTTTTCTCATTTTCTGTCTGTTTTTAAATATTTTTCTGTAATTGTGTCAAGTTTTTGCCTCCATGTATTTTTCTCTTTGGGTTTCCCCCTCTATTCTCTATCCCTGTGTGTGTCCTCCAATCCCTGACAATGACACCAGCCCAATGTCCTCTGTCAAACCAGTGTTCTGTGGATTCAGACAAGGGTCAGGCACTATGCTTAGCACATTTCAAATGGACTTCATGCTGGTTCCAGTGAGAGTTGCCTGCAAAGCAGAGGACCAGGGTCAAATGCTCTCTTAAAGTGTTTAAAAGTGATGCCTTCATGCGGTTCTCAAATCATAAGCATCTAAAAAAGGATTTAACGCTGTGTTTAATGTGCTTAAATGATACACTCATGCTGGTAAAGAGTTTTCTCGCTGTTGGAGGGAGCAAAAAGTCAAATGGGATTCATAGAGGAAGCAAAATGGAAATTCCACACTGTCCTGAAGACATTGTGGAATGACATGCAATTGCCTTGATATTATTTGCTGGTCATCAATGATCACTGAGATTCATCTTCCAACCTCTTTAGATAATGATAACCCTTGGTTGTGTTATGCCTCTTAGAACTGCCATCATTTCAATACATAAGTTCAAATACCACAGATCTACACTTCAACCAAGCCTCACTCCTTTTCTCACCTCCTTTCAATTTTCTACATCATGGGACATGCGTCTTTGCATTCAAGAGTAAACGTGAGTGCACATAGTAAAGGTGACGAGTCCCAACAAACACAGACATTGATTGACCGTACACACAAACTATCCATCAGCCATGTTGACCTGTGGTCAATATTCTTTAAATCAAAGTGTCAACAAATCACCTTCACACCTCAGCGGGAGAGGACGGAGAGGGACAGACTTCAGGGACAGGTAGCAGGATAAACGAGAAACCGAATCATCTCAAGAATCTAAGATGGAAAAGACAGTTGGAAACTGATTAGAGTTAAAAAAAATCCCGCTGTGAAACTATTTACAAGAGTAATGTAAAGAAGGAAAGTCAGTGGAGGACTAAAAGGCTAAGTGGCACAAATGACAACCTAAAAGTTGGAAGACCTCTACAGACCATTTTGCAATGTGAGCGTAAAGCTGGGGATGTGAGTCACCTTGGCCATTCATCTTTTATTCACGTACAGGAATTAAGTGATCATTTGTAACCCACTTTGTCCTGAAAATTAGCAGTGGAAGTCTGATTTCACCAAGACATAGGACTTCTACACCAGCATGTGTGCACTTTGTGCGATGATGTGGAATCTTTTCCTTATGCGTGTAAGCGAGGATCAATAATTGGTATTGCATGTTATCACGCTGTGTGTAAAGCACTTCGGGACCCCATAGGGGTTCAGTTTGTTTGGATGGCAATAAAAAGGCTTCTTTTTCCATTTCTGGTCTTAGTTTATGAAATGAATAGCAGCTGAAGTGCGTTCTAAAAGGAGCACTCTTTCCACGAATGTAAGCCAAAATCACTTCTGGCATGTTCTTTCCCTGTGTACAAACTTTGAACAGTTAATATTTCAGTGTCTGCTCCAGAGGCGACAGCTCAGTTATGCAGCAATATATATGCAAGGTCCAGTGAAAAAACTAACTAAATGAACTAAAAATGTGCAGTATTCTTATACAGGACAAAGTATTTTTACTCACCATTGATCAGCCTCAGCTTTACAACTACTGCGTCATTTGTAGTCTTGATGCAGCACATCAGTGTGTAACACATTTGCATAATGCATGCCTGTTGACTTGTTTGTCACACCTCAAACAAAGAATGAGAAGCATCCCGCACTCCAAACTTAAGATCAATCAGTTTACTTGGAGGAGCGATTAGGTTGCTTGGGAGGCGGTCTTAATGATGAGCATGTCAAATAAGAGGTGAGTGGAGAAACCAATCTAGGACATAGAGAGCTTCTACAACCACTCTAAATTTACTGCCCAGATTCAATTCTTTCATATTTGGCATTGAACATTTTAAAATGTGATGGAGCACGTGCCTGTACTTGCTCTAATGCTATGTTACCATTATCAGTGCTTTTCACAGTGCAATTTAAAACAAAATTCAAAAGATGTAGGGGGAATATCTTCATTTTACATTCAAAGCCTTTAACTTGCCACTAGAAAGAAAGAAAATATGTAGCCCAGAATCCGTTTCAGAGCATCAGGCTGAATATGTGTCAAAGTGAACGAAACTGGAGAATTCAGTGTGAGAACACGGACAATACAATCGAGTGTGCAATTAAACTTGTTCAGTTTGACAAATATTTACCTTCAGAACCGTGGCGGGGGATCGCAACCACAGACTGTTGCTATGGAACTGCAATATTCTTTATGCAAATTCCTCTTCTTTTTTTTCTAATGAGAAAGCCCAACTTTTGATTTCACTTGGAGTGTACCCTACTGTAGCTAAATGTTGTCTCCCGTCACATTTTATACCTCCCCTCTGTTCTCAGTTCCAACTATTCCTGCTAGGATTTCCCCAGCATCTTGAATACTCGCAAAAATGAGGCAGAGAGACGAACAGAGGGCGAGAGGAGAGAGATAGAATATAAGTCTGATATATATTACACGTCTCTTCCAATCCAACATGGTCATTCATCAGAAGGGCTTCCAATGACAGGCCATCACCAGGCTCCCAGACAGCTCAGCCTGCTGCCTCCGCTGGTGACGCTCATTGGGGCCACAACCACCAAATAGCCCCTGAAAACAATATCTATATATTTATTACATTTTCACTCAATACCTGCCTCTCTGCAAAACAATCTCATATTTAACAATCAAGTGGGCTTTTTTTCTTTCGAGGGGGGGCTAATGCCTTGTTACAGCCCTCCCTTACCACCACGTGTTTGTTTTAGCTGTCTCCATTTCACCCATTTTTTTTAAAGTTTTTTGTTATTATTCTCCATGCCTTTATCTTTTTTTGTTTGTTCCAGAAAGGATTTTTCTTCCCTTTTTTTATCTTTGACTTCAATGTGTATATCGATGAAATTGGATTTTTTTGCCCTCCTATGGAGGACAATCACAGAAGCAATTGCCATCTCATTGCAAAGTTCCACTGCTCTGTGAAAGGAAGAAATACTTGAGAGAGAGAGCATTAAAAAAACAGTAATGGTTTCTATCTCTATCTCTGTCTCAGCCTCGGACTTGCTAGCTTCATCTCCCCCCTGCCTGTCTTTTTTATTCCTTCTCTCGTTTTCTTCTTGTCTTTATCTCTATTTGGTGTTATTTTATTGATTTTTTTAATCTATTAAGCAATATGAATATTAAGATAAGAACTGTGTTTTTGTAGCAAAGAAATGTTTCTCTGTGCATTCCTCCTTTGCTGCCGACATAATCTTTGTTGTAAAACCAGACAGAATAATCCTGACTGAACTCAGGACGTTTTTCTAGTGTTAAATTATTATGTTACACACTGTTTGCTGTTTTAACTGCTTGATGAGATTCTAGGGGATTTAACAGGAGGTCCCTTCAAGGAATAGTGATTTAACAACAATGGAGTGGCACATCCATTTATTGTAGAGAAAGTGCAGCAGCTGTGACTTTCCACAGGCTAAAATCATTAATTCTTTGGTGCAGCTTTTGAAGAGTCAGCTTCCAGGGTGCAGTTTGTTAAAAAATAAGCTCAGAGCTTTGACTTCAGTCACGGAAAGTTTCTAGGGCATTACTTTAGATTAGATGGATTATATCCGAAGGTGAAAGGTATAAAAATGAAAACATATCTGACACATTTCACTTTGTCAGATAAATTCTGACTCAAATTAAATTAAGCCAACCAAAGTGGTTGGTCTCCTGCCTGGACAGACCTGATTGTTTGTAAATCTTCACCCTCGGACATTGTCATACCTTAAGAAACCATCCATCCTAAAATGCTTAGCCAGTCACCCTGACTCTATATTGGTTCCTTCTGCTCAGCAACAGATAAGAGAGAGAAGCCAACATTAAAGTGCGTCATTTGTTTTATTCATTAAAAATTTGAAGATTTTTCTTTAAATGTCTGCCTCCATTTGAGTGCAGCCTCTATCTTCTCGATATTGCTGCATTGCATTAGCAGTAATGACTTAATTTGTCTTTGGTACCCCCCATCAGCATTTTGTTTTGCTCCAGATGCGCTTAAAACCTTGCAGATAGCAGCAAGAATAAATGGGATGAACATAAACAGAAGCAGATTTTTTTCCCCGAGTCCTTGATAACACAAGGAAGTAACACACTGCACCGGCCTCTTTTGGCGACTTGATATTGTTCAACCAGGGACGGAACAGAACCAAACAGCAAACACTTTTATGTCTTTGAGACAACACATCAAGGTTGTATATCTGCAGCTGCTAACATTTTGATTAAGAAATGTTTTCAAGCAGACTCAGCAAGGACAGTCGTTTCTGGACTGATCAAAAGGTGGGGGGTTAAATCAGATGGGACAACAGCAGGAAATCACAATTTGAGACCACTCAGTAATCACACAAGTGACACTTTTCGCCTCGGATGTGTGGGCCCCTGCTTGTATTTGGTCACCAGGGTGCATGGAGGCACTCGTTTTTGTCCCTTCATCTTTCCATGCCATGTACCTTTTAGGTTTCTTCATCCGTTCAAGAAAATGTGCGTATTTGTAAGTGTGCGTGTGTTTGTGCATGTGTGTATATTGAAAGTGGTCTGCAATCATTGCCACACATGGTCCTTTGTCCTCTCAGGTGGATTAGTGTGCTGATTAGTGCCAGCTCTGCCATTTAGGCAGGTGTTATTACCTTATGCTTAGTATTCCACACAGAGACCTGCACCTAGCTCAGTCTGTCTCTTCTTCTCTTCCAGTGGCTTAATTTCAGCACCCATGAGAGATCTTATTCTTGGCTCTTTAGCAACCCCAAAAATCAAAGTTTAATCTTTTAGTCTTTAAGTAAGTTTCTGTGCTAAATCCTTCTTAACTCTAGAAAGTTTATTTTGTTCAAGGTTAAACCACTTCTGAGGCCCAAATGGCCTCTAACATACCACAAGACTCTTCAAATCTAGACACGCGTTTTTTATCGGTCATGTGACCATAGTGGTTTAGTCCTCAGCTTCCCTGTAGTTTGCATTATTTGATAAAATGAAAATTTTCAGTCTGCCATCTTACATCATTCTGTGTTTCAGTTAAAGTATTTGTTTGTATTTGAATGTATCAGATGTGATGTTCTGTCCCCTACAACTCTCTGAATATTAGCAATAGAATGCATACTGTACATTTCTCTGGCATAATGAAGATAAATTCTTGTTTGTTTAAAAAAACAAAATGTAATTTGTTTTCAAATATATCTGAAACTCTGCCGACTGTGACAAAGTGAAGTACTGTGAATCCATCGCAGTCCGTCTGTACGAGTGTCCATCCAAATGAAGAGGACTCCTTTATGAGTCAGACCTTTTGTCAGTGTCATGTCCTATCCTCTTTTACCTCTACTACACATGACTATTGATCCTTTCAACAGCAGAGTTCATTCTTATTGATCGCTGCTGAAGTATGATGAATATCTTTCGTGCTTGGAGGTGAAATTAGAACAGAAAGCACCAAGAAGTTTAAATATGTCACATTTGTGTTGTATCTGCGATGGGGACCATGGATGGAGAACAGGAACAGTTCGCCTTTACTGAGGTCTTACTATTCCATCTTTTTCAGGTTTGTTCATTATAATATAATACGCCATAATTTGAACATTATGATAGCTCTTAGTTATAGAACAAAACCCTCATGTACAGTTCTTTTTTTTCTTTTTCTTTTTTTTTACTTTCTGCGTTTTGCTAATTGCCAAGTAATTGCTGTTATCAGATTTGGACAATGCAAATCTCAATTTAGTGGGTTGTTCCCTTCATAGCTTGTTTATTAATAACTGATACTGATAAGAAAATTATTTGAGCTGCTACTACGTTTTAAATGCTCAGCTTGAGCTTTCTGTCCAATTGTTCCAAAAATACACATGTACAAAAAAGGCTTAACTCTTAGCCACACAGCTGGAAAAGAACTGGAATAAATGGAGAACCTACTGTGTCATTTAAGTTTGGATATAATTTTTTCATAAATGAGTGGATGTGCCCGAACGTACGACTAGTAGCATATATTCATGTTTAAACAAAAGTGTGAATTGTTAGCAATAAAAGTTCATTTTCTACACAGTTTTCCTTCAGTGCTTAATGACTGTATATAACTGAATGTGGAACATAACATTGGGAAGGAAATATTACTGCAATTTAGCATAGTTAATTTACTTAGAATTATTTTCTCAAGTCTTTTTTTTTTCCTAATTGACATTGATCAAGAAAATCCCTTTCAGGAAAATATTTAGCCAACAAAGTTTTTTTCACAAAGTTTTTTTCCTTAAATACATCCCCACAGATTGCTACCCACTGACAGTTCTATGGCAGGTAACTGATGTTTTCTGTTGGTACTTTGGAATATAAATTTAAAAAGGGTTCAAACCAAGGATAGACGTGTCCTGCATTTAATCTGTCAGACTTATTTTATTAAAGATAACATGTTACTTTGATATGAAGAGATGGTGATGTAAGGATATTTACTTTATCAAATCCCTCCAGCTTTCAAGCTAGATGTCTTCATCGTGAATATTGTAACTGCTTTACTAAAGCAGCAGTACTTCTGAGTTATTATATGCTGTTTTTATGATGTTCATGAAGCTCCTCTAACATCAACAGCAACATTTATGCATTTTTCTATGTATGAATTCCATTTTTAAACCCAGTCTTCACAAACATTTCATCATCTTGTCCATGGTTGGATGACATAGTCCATAACATTTTTGAATTTGTGGACTCCCCCTCTATCAAACGTCATAACACTCTCAATCACACTTTACAACCTTTCACAGTATGATTATAAATGTGCATAACTGCCACTGGGGGCTGACATGAACCATCTTCCAAGAGCCGTGTACTCGGTGCATGAACAAGCTTATATGGCAGTGTTTGAGGAGGTAATTTAGGTTTAGTGGTCCTGCTATGGGTTCATTTGCCACAGGTCAGCAGGGAATTCTGACCAATGCTCTGTACATTGTTGACTAGCGACCCCATGGCCTTACAGAATTGCTCTGTTATTACAGCAGTCTTTTGTAGGAGGCAAGCACAAACTCTCAGAATTCACACTTTATACTCACACAAAAAATGTACAACCCACACCAGGGGACCAGGAGTGGTCCCAAAAAGGTTATAGGGAAAAAAAGGATTCTGCACCCTGAAGTATAAAAAATGTGATCTGGTTTTGAAAAGCAACATAGTGGATATAGAATCAACAGTAAACTGACATTTGTGCTTTTGACTCAGAAAACCCAGAAAGGCAAAAAGAGGTTGTGCACCATCCACACAGCGGTTGTAGCAGAAATTCTGTCTTGTTTCCTTTTTGTTGGAAGGCAGTGCTTTGCATCACAGCACCATGCCACAAAAAGTTTGAGATTGAATATTGTTTTCTGACACATCAGGATTATCATTTTAAAATCCATTGGTTGCTAAATGATAAACCCGAATAATACCCATTATGACAAAATAATAATGGAGCTTTTCTGTATGTTGTAAGAAACCCTTCAGAGAACTGTGCTGTTAGCTTCAAAAGTGAACCCTACACTTTTATGCTTTAGTTTAACTGAACCATCTTATTCTTTATATCTTCACAGAGCACTCAGTTCTACAAAGTCACCACTGAGAACTACCATAAAGCTGCAGATGAAGTGAATGCAAAATTCAAGTAAGTTCATACACTTTGTAAGTCCAGCCATATCATTAGCCTTAAACTAAAGTGTCAGCAAAATGAATTGTGTGGGATTGTGGCCAATTTTGCTACTAACATTATTTTTTTATAACATTCAGCAACCATAAGATGTTCTGAGCTGGATAGCTTAGAACTGGATCTGGTAATGAAGCTTCAAAGTTGCAAAAAAGGGGGAAACTGTATATAGCTATCATTCATCCTCTTTCAAGTCCAAGTCCAAGCAATCTGACAGATTTAGGACATTTCAGAATGTTTGAATTAATTCAATGTTCATTTTAAAATTTTAAGGTAATAGGGTGCTATCATTAAAGTTAGAATAACTTGGTAATATCAAGAAAAAAATAACTTTAACATTTCAAATGTAGCACCCTAATTTTTTGAGTTAGTCAAAAAATGTGTTTGTTTTCAAATATCCAAATCTGTGCATACAAATTTAAAACAAATTTTTAAAGTCTTAGATGTTCTTTTATTAAGTCATTTGCAAAAGAGACTTGTGTGTTATAAGCTTGTGTGTCATATATAAAATGGGAAGGATTCACAAGGTATACTATTGAATAATACAAGGCACTATCCAAGCTACATCTTTCAATCAGAACCACATTAGCCCAGGGCATTAGTAAATGTGGATGGTGTGGTGATGGTGTGGTCTCCTGATAAGACCGATCGCATCCTGATGATCGTTTAGAGGACTTGTGCTCGTTCAATATGTTGCCGCCTAAAGAGTTGAATTTATTCCATTACCTTTCTTCTTCAACAATTCTGAATCAAACACCCTGCAGCATTTATTTGCTAATTATTTGTACCAGGTTAATACAGATTTTTTTTCTTTATTTTAAGTTTCCAAATCCATCCATCCATTGTCTATAGTCCTATAAGGGTCATGTGGGGGCTCGAGCCTATCCCAGCTGACACTGGACAAGAGGTGGGGTACAACCTGAACATGTCACCAGTCCATCACAGAAATAAACCACACACACACACACTCTCATTCTGAGCCTCTACTTCTCACATTAAAAAGAATGGAGAAAAAACAACAGTTTGTCTGCTCTCACATTTTAACATATGCACTTCATAAACTCACACCATTAAGAAAAGATGCCAGCCGCATCAACACATTGTGAAATTAAAAACGTCATATATTTAGGAGACAATAAGCATGGAAGCTGTAATGGGTGTGGCTTATATCCAACACATAACTGTAACTCAAGAAGATTCACCATCCCTTCTCATTCATGTTCCATCTGTCTTTTTAATATGAAGCCATTAGGCTCCATAGTAATGTAGGGAAAGTGGATGAGGAGCCTACAGGAGGTCGGGCAAGAATGAGAGCTGACTCTGAGCTCACCTCCAGGGAGACTAGGCTGATTGTGTTAGCTTGTCATTAGCCAGCGCTAACGCTGGGATCATTGTCTCCCTCAGAAATGCTGGAAACTGATTAGCCTAGCCCACCAGGGGTTTAGCGCTAGACTGGTAGAAGCCAGAGCTTAGACTCCCCAAATCACATTAAAGAAAAAAAAAAACCCCGAAACAGTGGAATAACATTAGTGCAAAATGACAGTGCTAACTTAGAGCGAGCATTGAGCTAATGTGCAGTTGGTCATGTGACACAGGGCTTTACTCAGAATACAGTGATTGGTGGATTTGATTATAGGAGGTGCATTAGCAGAGTTGTGACTGGATTAAAATAGTAGAAAGGCATTGGAAGATCTTAGTATCCTCGCACACATACACACGCTCACACACTAATGAAATGGCGGGAAGGTCTGGTGTTACATGATGGGAGCAGGGATGCATTGAGGGGATCAGAGCAAAGGGTTAATTGGATTTAATGGGTAGTGTTTGGCCCATCCTTGTCTATGTGCACGGGTTCATGAATAATGGCCTATGTTTGTATGCTCTCATTTGATGAACATCATTTGTGCCCACAATGTGTGTTTCCTCAAAGCTCTTATGACAGAGGCCCTACATAGATAAGATGCTATCTGTGGCCTTTGTTGAGTAATAAGAGGGCATATTTCTTGTCTCACAGAGGCTTTTGATTTTCTACGGACTGAAAATGTCCCCTTGAGATAAAAGAAAGAAAAAAAGATCCACTGTCTTACCCATGCTTATAGAATTAACATTTGATATGTTAATTTGGGAACTTAATGTGCTGGAGATCTTTCTTAAAAAGTATCTATTTCTCACTTCATCTTCCATCAGTGTCACTGTGACTGATTGTAAAGGCTGATATTAGACAACAGTTTATTAAAAGAGAGAAGACCAGATGTAGTTGAGATAAGATGAATGTCAGTAGTTTTTATTGTCATGGCAAGTCAGGTATTAGAAGTGGGTCAGTGCTCAGCTGTGTGTTATAGCCACTGCCAGCTCTCTTTGTTTAGTTTTGCTCTTAGATACAAAAAACAGTTTGTTTCAAGCCGAAGATCAATTCATAAGGTACCTTTTTGCAGAAAAACTGAATATAAGAAATGTGGCATTGCCCCATATATCCCCATTCATTGCAATGGCCCAGAATGTTTATTTTGTATGGTGCTCAGGAGTGTTTGGGGAGTGTATGTGTGCACATAGTATAAGATTATGTATACCTGCAGTATTCCTGCCAGAGCTCTCCCAACAGAATGCTACTACATCACCATAACCTCATTACTTCTGCTCACATGCAATCACACACTCACAAAAAACACATTCATATAACTATGTGGAGCAAAATTCCTACTTTTTAAGTTTTTCATGCATTCTTCATTATATGCGGTTTACGTCAGTTATGTATTTTTGTTTGAATATTTAGTGTGAAATCACTATGGTCAGTTCAAGTTGCATTCAAAGATGCAGTTCATTTCCAGGCAATAATAATCCAAGTCGTTGTAATAAAATCATATACAAATCACGTTCAAATCGATTTCATACAATGGCAATTTAATGAATGTTTCCCTGATAAGAAAATCAACAGATTGCATTGATCTTCAGTTCAATCTTCAATTTTGTTCCCTATCCTGAGAATGCATGAGGTAGGACTGGAGATGACAGTGGAGATTATACCACCTTGAGGGAGAACTTCCTCAGAAAGGGTTAGTGTCATCTTATTTGTCAACTCCTAGAGGATATTGTAGATAGACTCCTCTAGTATGAAATCACATGTGAACCGCAAAATCCAGGCTATCAACATGGTCTCAAAAATCCAGGCTAAATATATTTGCCATGCATTTTTCCTGCCTATATCTGTAAAAGATGATGTATTTTTGACATAAAAAATATAAAGTCCCTTTTCCTATAACAGCAGCTATAGATAAGAGCTCCCACTTGTTTGTAGAAACTGGCCTATCCCGCTCTTCTGATTTATATGCTGCCACGTTTGCCACTAGTTGTTTATCAAAGTAAGCGTTATCACACTTCACAGCTCTGAATGTGTGACCTTTACTGTGCTACATGTATGTAAGGGTGCGTGTGAGGACGATACACACATACAAGTGGACATCAGCATTGTAGTGTGTGTGAAGTTGGGAGCGAATGGGGCTTTAGTTTGAAATGTAAGCTGACAAGCATGGAGGGAAATGTTAGATGTGTGATTAGGAAGAAAAAGAGATGGAATGAAGGAACGGAGAAGGAAGCAGAGTCCTAAGTCTCCTGTAAGCACTAACCTTTGGCAGGGCTTTGAACCTCTTGGTGGAGGCTCATGGTGTGTTTGGGGACCCTGCAGATTTTAAATGGGACAGGGACATGGCACGTTGGTAGAAAGGTGTGTCGGACTTCACAGTGAAATACTGAAGAGTCAGAGTAGACCATCATTTCTTATGTCCACATTCCTTTTGAAGTCATCAAAACTTGGAGTCGCATCAGGGGCTTCTTTTATGGCGACACTTCTCAAAGTTCAGAAGACACCATGTATCATTCTGCGAATCTGTGCTTCTGAACAGAACATTTTCTTTTTCTCCCCACATGTATTGCATTAGAGGATAGGATTTTATTTTATTCTGTCAGTTCATGCCGCTCATCTCCTCCCTAAGGCTACACGCTCGCTCCACTTGTCTGCTGTTTATTATTTTCTAACTCCTCTGAATACATCTTCCTTTAATTTTACCTGGTTGTCAATAATAACTGTGTGTGCCTTGTCTCTCCACACACACACACAGGCTCAAACCCAAAGGTGGAATGTGGAGGAGTGGAGCAAAACTAGTTGAATGTTAATGGCTCATTGTTTTTCTTCACCAGCACTGCTGTGCTTTACTGCCTTGGTCAAGAGACCATGCCTGACAGTCTGTCTTTTCTGTGAAATATGGGAGAAGGTAGAGCCCACTCATCCTTCTCAACCACTTACACCTATGAGTATTCAGAAATGAGCAATCCTCATTTTTTATTTACTTAAATTAACATAATACATCAGATTAGCAGTAAAAACTAAGTGATTACTGCTGGTGTAAACTTTCTGAGTGCTTTTTCTTAAAGCCTGTGCATCAGTCATGTAAATTGTAATATTTACAGTTATAGCTGAATAGCATCCCCCTCCCCCTTTTTTCTCCCCACAGCTAAAACTCACATAGCCACTCCACAGAGTGGAGTATGAATTTAATTTGTGGTTGTTGTTGTTAAAAGCATTTGGGGAACATGACAGAGCTATTGTATCGTACCTTTGACTTATCATACAGAACAAGACTGATATAATGGCGATCATCCATTAAGCAAAACCCATCCTGCTGCCTCTGTATCTCAATAAGTAGCAGTCTTTTGGGGGCCTTACATTTTTATTTGCAATGGTTATTTTAGAGGTATCATTTTGTGGCCTCAAAATAGATGAACATGCTGTGATAGAGTTGAACTGCTCAATCAATTAATTTCCCAAAAAGAAAAAGAGACAGGAATAAATTGAGATATAAAACTGCTCTTGTAGAAATCCAAAAGGTGTTTTCTGTCAAGTGGTCTGCTGGAGGGGTTGGACAGATTGAGCAGCCCTTTGACCCCTCAGTCAGGTGAGGGTAAACCACTATTCTGTAGCTAGGCAACCTGGAGACAAGGACAAGATGGTGGTCAGCTGAAGAGACAGAAGTCAATATCTGCCTTAAAAGCTTATCTTTTGGTCTTAAGAGCTTCGCTGTGCTCGCTGTAAAAGGCACATGCTATTCAAGGGACCTGCGTGGGCACAAACATAAATCACACAAACTGTTTAGTGGCATATTTATTGACTTAGCTGTACTGGAAATTGTTGTGAAATGGACTCATAACTTTTCCTTCCTTTCTGTGTTGTTTCTCCTTTCTCCTTCAAATGTGTTGTAAAATACATAGCCATGAATAAAATGAGTTCTTATATGTAAGATCTCTCATTATGCAGCAAAATATGGACATATTTTATCATTCTGAAAAGCTCGACATAATAAACACGTGGCAGATTTATTTTTCTTTAGACGCTATAATGAGCAAGTGCCTAAATAACGTGTTGTCTTAGGGAGGTTATAGGCAGTGATTTACCATTTTGATATTAGTTTTATGAAGTCTACTTAAATTTTTATGCCCTTCCCCAGCGATCAGTGGTAAAGGCCATCTTTGCCAAAGTAGTACCTTGTCTTTGGAAGGCAGAGCTACATTAGGATTAATCAGGCAAGCTGCAGAAACACTTCCCCAGTGTTGGACAATCCAGAGAGACAGTTACTAGTCTGAAATGGTTAATTATACGAAACGTTTGATTGCTGCAATGTCAAATAAAGGTGTTAACACTGATTACAAAAAGGGTGCAAATGATATCTCACAATTCTCAGCTGTTGGTCAAAGAAAACTTTTACAACATTCTCACGACCATCTGAAACACTGTCCATCCAACTAGAGGGTTAAAAAGGCTGTGTTTGAACATGTGTTTTTGTTTCATGCCTTAGGCCAGAGACCAGTGTCCCCGTAAGAGTATGAATAAAGAAGGTCACAGCGGACACTTGCTCAACTTCTTTCTCCTCTCCCACTCATCCTTCTTCATTTCCCTCAGTGCTCACTTAATGTAGAAACTGTGTTTTCTGTCTTAATTTAAATCTCTTCGCTCAGTTCCTGATCGTTATTGTCTGCTCTCGCCTCCCACTCTTATCCTCTCCAGTCTCTGGCCATCTTTTGTCCATCGCACTTTTTTATATCTGTCTCTCTCTCTACTCGTCCCTTCCTGTTTTCCTCTCAATCTCTTATCCATGCTGATGGATTTTACAGCAGGGGTCACATAGGTCCACTTTTAAAAAGTAACTTGAGTGAAATCTGTGTCATTTTTCTCCCTAACTGGATCATTTGTATTATTTACTGCTCTTATTACTGACGCCTGGCTTAAGTAGAGAGAACATCAAGACTCTTTCAGGGGGAACCGGCACCCACCCTTTAACCCTATTAACCTCAGAGCAACCCAAATGATGATAAATAGACAATGTGGTGATTCGGAACGCATTCTGTGGCAGACGAGTGTAATCCATACTTTTTGTGGAGCGGCAGCCTTTGTTGCTTCACTATGCATGTGCAATCTTAAACTAAATAAAAGAGTTGGTTACTTATGTGAAAATAGAGAAAAATACTATTTTTCCTCTTTGTTATTAGGAGTTACTATGGAGAGTAACAGAATGACAGATGGCTTATTCATCCATTCATGCATGTATACGGAAAAATCTATCATTTGAAAAAGAGGCAATGCCTCAGAGTCAATGGAAAATTTACCTGTGATGGTATTTTAAAAGCCTAACTGAATGTTTTAACAAAGATCTCTGTTGAAGAATTGTTTAACACCTTGAAAGGATGTTGACTCCTCCCATAGCGTTGTGTTACTGATAAACAACTGTTTCCAGCGCGGTTGTGTGGAAGGATCTGGACCTTGGCAAACGCTGCATATGATTTACTACCTTGGATCTTTGAGGAATCTGTTGTGTCAGCTGATGAGCATTACTGTGCTGCGCTACCTTGTGCATATTTTTGTTGATTTCATTTCTGCCCTTTTGCTCAGAATGCCAGATGGCACATTGAATTGGTGGCTTTTTCTGTACCAAATGCTGAACTCGCTACGCAGGTGTCTCAGAGAAAAAAAGAGGCGCTTTTGTTGCTACTGAGCTGACATCACTTTGCGATATGAGTGTTTCTTTTTCTGCAGTGGATGGCTTTAGAGTGGACAGCCCCTCCTTTGCCCCTGCCTCAGGTGCATTTGTCTGTGTCCCTCCCATGCCACTTTGTGCCTTTTCTTGCTTTTGTTCAGAGTTTGAATGCATCTTAAATTATGACAGATGGATTCAGCCGTTTACCCACTTGTTTCACTCTTTGTTCAAATATTGATGCATGTTATAACAGTAACGGAGATGTATGAATGTCATTTTGGTGTCCGATGTTACAGCAGATGGTAGTCATGGTCAATATATTTCCCTTTGAAAAATGAACCGGCGCTGCTCTTTGTACAGTCTATTGGCATCTCGCATGCATATTGTATGAAAATCCAGACATCGATCTCAGTGTGTGACCCAGCTCACGGTCAATATGTTCTTTGAATAATGTACCTGTAGCCATAAACCCATCAGAAAATGTCCCCTCAGTGGAATGTGCTGACCTGTGCAGCGTGAGAGGTTTGAAATAAAGGACTGTATTAGATGATATACAGACACCCTCAGGCTGGAGACTGGCTGCGAGAGGGAATGAGCAGCTCATGTCTTCTGCTTTATTACATCATAAGGGGAACAGTTTCGGTTTCTCTCAACATGTCTGCCCTTCAACCTTTTTTCTTCTTTTCAGGGGGAAAACTTTGCAAAAGAAGTATAATTAAAGACTTTCCCCTCATCCTCCTGCAATTCTCCACTCCATTATTCTTTTAAAATGACAACTTCCTTTTTCCTCCTTTTTCACGATTTTCTGGCCTGCAACTCTCACACACACATCTCTTTTGCAGGTTCTCTGATTTGAAAACACCTTGTCATTTTATTTCAATTTTTCTTGTGATTTATGACAAAGCGCTGACAAACTGTGGTGCAGCGGTGCTGCATCTATCAGTGGACGGAGGCTTCAGGGATGTGGTTTGTTTGTGCATTTGCGTTGGGGGTAGGGTTGGATGAGGAATTGTCATGGAGACCTTTACTGCTACAGACGGCAAAGAGTCGAGACCCCTATGTGACTGTTTAGATTTACTGTCTCAGGGGTCAACTTGAGCAGCACCCACGCTTAAGCGCGCACACAGAGTGCAAATAATAACCACCATGATGTGGCTCGATGTGTCAATTCATTTCAGTGTCTCCTGCTGCGTGGAGTTTTATTAAATGTCCCATAGAGCTGTTGGGATTGACGAAAGGAAAAAAAAGCAGAGTAGAGCAAAGACAAGATTCAAGGAATGAACAAAAACAGGGGAATTGGAAAGGGAATCAGAGAATGTTAAACGTATATTAAGCATGTCTGCTTTGAAAACCTGTAAAATGGATGTTTTGATTTAATCTAATTTAATCTATTTTGTTTTCTACTTCATGGTGTTTATCTATCCATTGAAGAAGCTTTTGTTGTATGTTTTATGGGAATGCTTCGCCATCCACTCGCCTTTAAATGTATCCCAGTTTCCACAGCTTAAGACAGGATGTCCCTCTTCCTCCAAAGGGCGCAAAACTCCGGGACATGCACCCAGAAATTGGGCTCATGGGAAGAAACTGGCTCCTAAAGAGTCAGATAGCTTTCGGTCGGTACTGTGAGCAGAATTTAACCTTTGTAGGACTGCAATTCAAACGCAGACATAATCAGGTTATATCCACACCGCCCCTGAAGATATTTTTTGAGAAATTAACTTCTTGGCAGGGCATTTGTGTTCAGCTTTGATTATTTTTACGAGATTTCAACTCCTATAGGCATTTGTTTGTCTCCTTAATGTTAAATGTATGCATGCACACATTTACAGAATGTGCCCACGCAGCAGCTGTGACACCGACTTAAACTTACTGCAGTTCATTGTGTGACAGAGAGAAGAGTTGTTGATTGATATTTTAAGATGTGCGCTCTCTAAATTATATCTGTGTGCTAAGCACCAAGTCGCTCAGTTGTATCAATTGTGAGTCAGTTTCATTAGATTTAATTGTACCATCTGGTTTGGTCTAGCACTCCATTTAATCGGAGGCATCTTTCTCCTGTGGGAGATAATAAAGCGACCTCAACCTTAACTACTAACAAAAAATGAAATTATACAGGGACACCAAACCAGGAAGGCAAAGCCATCAACATGCCTCCTGCCCTCACCGCTTCTTTCATTTCCATTTTGTGATGTAAAAACAGTATTTTAAAAAGATAGATTTCTGCTTTGGAAATTTGATCCAGTGTCCTTGTTTATGAATGCCTCTTCGGGTTGCATGGGAACTGGATGATTCATGGCTGTTTTTGACTGTATTTATAATGAACTGATTCCCACAGTGGAAAATGTATTCTGCCTTTACTTTTTTGCATTAAACCGCTGATACTTTAAAGTATGTGCATGTAAAATACAGCACGAGGAACATAACGTTCACCCAGTTTTTTGGGTGTTTTTTTTTGTATTTCATGCAAATATTTCATGAGAACTTGTCAGTGCAATGCCCTCAGTTTACCTGCAAGTGTATTTCCATAACAAGGTTTAAAATAAGTCTACCTCAGCCAAGTAACTTGAGCTGAAAAATTAGAGGTGTGATATATTTAGTGACAGCCCGTTGCTAATAAAAGACTCAAGACTTAGTTTAATTTATAAAAGAAAAAAGGAAAGGCTTTTTTTAAAGTAATTTTTAGTAATTGGTTAATGCCATTTTCATAATATAACCTGTCTATTATCCATATACGCTCACTCTACTCAACATTAAAGTAGTCATACTATGGTAAATGACATGAGGGCATTTAATGTGAAACTGAGGAGGAGGAAGGGGAGGTTATAGTCATCATTCACCACCACCGTACAATTGGCAGCACGAACTTAATGTTAATCTTAATGACAGATGATGGAGGATACAGCGTTGCGCCACAGAGTGTGTGACAGTGTTATTGTCTCTATGATTAACTCAACCATGTTCTCTTCCCCTTCCCCTGTGAGAGAACCAGAGAGCAAGCAAAAATAGAAGTACTACTGTTTAGTTTCTCATTGAGAAGATGCTCTTCATTTCCATCCACTCTCTTTTCCCCTGTCTGCCTTTTCCTCCCTCCCTCCTTCTCTCTCTGAGGCCATTACTGGTGATAAACACTGTGGTTAGTATCAGCAGGATGCACCTGGCATTAAAGTGAACGCTTAAGAAAGTAATTAGTGGGTGTATGTGGCTCTGCTTGTCCCTGTAGATGCCCATAGACTGTTTAATAAATGAGCCCCAGGTTCCATAGAAATAGGATGGCAGTGATTTCTGCCAGCACTACTGTCATTGTTCAGTACCCTGATGCAGAGCAATGGCCTTGTCAGGCCTGCTAGCAAATGACTGAATCTCATCCCAATGGATCCACAATTGCAGAATCGTTGCCTCTCAACTGGGTAACGATCCAGTCTGCATTGCAAGTGATAAATGTCAGGCATTATTTAAGGCACATGTCACCCTCGAGTCAACCATTTTAAGTGAAATGGTCTAATAGTTAGTGACATAATACTTATCTATTTGTGTGCAATTAGTTCAACAAACTGACCAAAAATCACATCTATCACAAAGCTTGACAGAAAGCAAATGCAAAAATTGAATAAACAAAGTATTGAAGGCTGTACATCTGGACATCATGCCATCTTCCCATTCACGCTCTAGAGCGGCAGAATATTATTTAGAATTAAGCTAACACCTCATTAATAATAGCTAAATGATCAAATTGGTTTTCTTAACCCAACTTGATGATTGCAAGAGGCCTAAGTTGCCCCAGCTCACCATTTACAAACCATAAAAAATGCTGAACAAGCCACTTACGGGGAAAAAATTTTAAAAAGTGGTGTCTGCGAAATCAAGGGTATTGATTATTGATTTTTCTGTTTAAGTTGTCAAAGGTGTGCAGACAGGAACTGTATGGATTTTTGTAGGACTGCTTACAAATATGAACCATGTGGCAAAGCAGCTTCCTGCTGCATTGCACCCCGGGTAATGACCCATGCGACCAATCCAGCTCTCTGTATCCAACAGGGAGTCATTCCTCTCTCCAGGATGCAAATCAAACATCTGACTGCGACTACAGGGGCTTGGTTTCATCCCCCAATATTCCTTTGAGATGTCCTGAGTTGCTGATGGGCAAAATCTCTTTGTCTTTCATACCCATGCAAGATGTGTTTAGTGAGGCAGATGGAGTGTCCTGAGCACTGATGTGAGCAAAGCGATGACGCCACCATTTGTATAATGGGCCAATAGGCATGTGCATGCCTAGTCATTATGGATTTCTTTTTTTATGGGCTGTGTCAAGAGACACAAAAGCAGTTAACACTGGCCACAGCACCCGCACTGGTGGGACGCCTCTCTTCTGAGAGCGGGTAAAGCATCCAACTCTTCGAGACGTTTTAATGGAACATTTCAATTCTCAAAGTTTAGTGTAGAATCCGTCCCGAAATTTGTCGTCATCTGGGTCAGAAACTGAATTAGCGGCAGCTGTTACAAACATGAAGGAAAGCCCGGCAAATGCTTTAGCTTGCCCATCATTTTAATCTAATTATCATCTTCATTGCATGGAGATAATTGTCTACATGAGCGTGATTCTATATTATTTGGTTTAAATCGCTCTTTGACTTGTGAAGCCTCGCCTCAGTGTAGTCTCATGGCAGTGACGGTTTCCCGCTGTCAGGGGCTGAAACCATAGCTGAACTTTCTTAGAAAATCCCTTTGGCCACTCCGTCGATGTGTTGTGATGTACACAGCAGGCAGTGGACTTTTGACCTTTTTTCCCCAACAGATACCATAATGCTGATAATGCGTGCCCCAGGTGTTCTGTGCTGGAAAGGCAGTAGTAATAACATAACAACAGAGGTGCTCACACTGCTGTCCAAAGTATAGCTCTGTAGGGTCTAAACTCTATGGGCCTTCTTTTTAGACCATTTATTCGACCATTTCCAAACCAGCATTTCATTGTATCCTTTTTCTTTTGTTCATGATTATTATATCTCACATTTATGTTACCAGTCCAGCATTTCTCTGTTTTTTTATTATTTGTTTTAAATGATCATATCACCTTCACTTTTTTTCCCTCACGTTTTCTGCCTGCTCTCTTCTCTTGTTAAGCACCACATTCCCCCTTTTCACAGCAGTGTGTTTCTCTCTTTTCCACCCCTGCAGGAGGTAT